ATATTCTATTAACTATTTAAATTTGTACCTAACAATAAAAATGAAACACTGTATAATTAACACATGAAAAATTAATTCACAAAAATTTAAAATTAACTCATTAAAATAACAAAAAAACTAAATTTTTAACACTTATAACACTATATAACAAAGTGCTCAGCATTTCGGGGGGGTTTGAACACCATAATCCCCCCCCCCCTTGAATACGACCCTGGCCTATATAATAATTCCACTTATCCATTGATTTATCCGCATATTGTAAAAGTTGTTGTAAATACTGAAATTCAAATTATTTTATTGTAAAAATAAAGAATAATGGATTCAGTTTAACACAAATGTGATTATAAAGTGATATTTCTTCCATCTCTTGTGCAACTGTGCACTTTTTGGCTACTGAAACAATGGTAATTTTTTAACTTTAATTTAATTTTTTAATTTTTTATTTTTTTTAACGTTAAATATCTTTTTACCTAAAAGTAATAATTTTAGAAAGACAATTTAATAATCTTTTAAACGCAAAAACAATAAATAGGGTGTTCCATTTAAATTTTTTGAGTTATTGAACTTTTAACAAAAGCCTTCATTTTTTTATCTTTACAAATGCAAAACACTAAAAAATTGCTACAGCTTTAAATTATGTACTTTCTTCTTTGCAAAAGCAAGAACAAATTTGTTCTAGCTGTCTTAATTTTTGTATAATGAATTTTTAAAAAGTGCGTGTTTTCGTCAAAAAAACGTCTTATTCCTAAAACTAAGCAAAATCGCCTAATAAAAGTTTAGCGTAAAAACATTGTTTTAAAATGCTACATCCAAAAATGCCAAGTGTTTCATTTAACTTATTTTTGGGACATGCTGTATAGTTAAAAATAATTTTAGGTAATGCACTAGATTAGTTCTATTAATGCCCTATTTATTTTTTTAAAATTTTACGATTTAAAAGTCACTATTGGACTTTTTTTTAATTCCAATTATACAAAAAATCCAGCGGAATTCTAGTAKTTACAAAAAAAATTCCAATATGTTTTCAGTTTAATTCCTATACTTCACAAATAATTCCAAAAATTTCATTTTTGATCACCCGGCTTAGAGTTCCCGAGTTTTGGTGTTTTCTAAGCGAAAAAGCGCTAATTGTGTTGTTTGCAGGAATAGTCTGGTTCAGATGGAGAGGATGGGATTACACGCTGAAGAAGGCCATGATGATGATCAAGCCGAAAGGACCAGTTACAACAACATAAAYGAAGAAAGTTAGCCAATTTATAATCATCGGTCCATTAAATTTCATCGAATCATAAATCAATATTTATTTCGACACATCTGACACTTTTTACCTATGTTAAATTACCTCATAGTATAGTTGAAAACGATTTTTGTCACTATATTGCCTAGAACAGTTCTATCGACCCCGAGTTGTACATAAWTTTTTTTTGATAGAACTGCTCCTAATTGTAGGTTTAAGATGTACATTTGCGCTCCCATTTTAGTTTTGTAAGGAGGTGTTTTGCATTTAGTTACACTAATACAWACACAGAGACGCACACACATTTCCTGCACGATTTTTGCAAAAACTAACATTTACTAACGAGGCAAAAGAATTTTTTTTTCATTTCCGCTGATTATAAATTGGGTTCTTTTCAGAAAAAGTACGAAAACATTTTTAAAGGAAATTTAAGACTGTGTCACTTATCGGAATAATTTTTTTCGTTCGGAGAAAATTTTCATCGATAAGTTTGTATTAATGTAAGGTATTTTGTTATGAGGCTAATGGGACATCAAATGCAATGTTCGTATTAGGCAGGTTAAAAAACAATTCTTACCGTAGCGTTTATATGGTTGTTGTAAATATTCTATTTCCAGAGTTGTATAAATTAAATATATTTTAATATAATAAATTATGTATTAAGTATTAAATAACCGACTTTTATTTTACATTTATCAAATTTGTATTTACTTAAACGAGTTTTTTGTCTGATATATTTTTTTTTCGATTAAATCATTGAGATACTGGGAATTTATCCCTTTACTACGCCGCCGTTGCACGTGTCATGAGTTGTTTTAATTTCACCAATTTTGGTTTGATTTCTAGGAAACTTAATTCTTGTTTTGAAAACAAATGCAAAGGCTTTTTAGTCGAACTTGAGCAGTCGTAGAATAAGGTTCGTGTTAAAAAGAGGGTGTTTTTTGAGTAAAATTTAAGTTATTGTCTTGATTCAAGTGTGATAAGAAAATAATTATTTCGTGTAATGAGAGTGAAACTTCTTCATTTCAATCTTTGTAAATCAAAAAGGAGAAATTTACAGAGAAAACAGCCACAATCCTAGAAGAAATACGTGAGTTTCTTTAACTTTAAAAAATTAAAATTTTCTTCGTTTGTTATGAACTAAATCGTTTAAAAAATATGCTTTTATAAAATTTTGTCTCAAACGATGAATAAACGCCTATTTATTCCAAATTTAACAGCGCAAATATAGAGAAAACAGGAAGTAAAATTGACAATTTTATTCACAAACCAAATTCGTTATTCGCAAATATAAGCAATTACCTTTTTTTTTAGAAAAAAATTCATAAATCTTAAATTTGTAATTAAAAATGAAAATAAAAATAAAGTAAAAAACTACGACTAATCATTTAAAAATATTTTACAGTAAAATACGACTTTTTTGCAAAAATAGTGATTTTTTTACCAAATATAAAAAATTCAATATTATCAAAAACAAAGTAAGTTATTTGCGAAAAAGCTACAAGACACACTACTCCAAAAAATTAAGGGAACAAAAACGTTTCTTAAATTTTGGTGATTCTTTTAAAGGCTTAGAAAAATGGTGGTATCTAAATTAAAAAAAAAAAAAACATGAGATATTTCAATTTAATAAAAAAGAATTCTTTCATCTTTGATCAATGATCATAAATATCTCAGCAACCTGGTTTCTAAGATATCGATGAACATTCAATTTGGAAAAATCCAAACTTTGGTAGGAAGTAAAAAAAATTGTGGAAAATAACTTGAATTTTAACTTGTCTTATGCCTAAACTGAATGAGGATTCCAATTTTTTTTTTCATCTCCACGCAATAGTTTTCAACATATCAGCCAAAGTTTGAGAGATTGATTAAAATTTAGTTTGTCAAAATCCAAACTCTGTGTATTTTTTTTTCGACAAAATAGAAAAAAAAATTTCACGTTTTAAGTCTCCTTACGTAAAATAGTCTAAAAATTATTAATTATTAAAAACAGTTTTTGAGATTTTGGTCAAAATTTAAGATTTCGCTTAAAATTAGTATCAAAACTCGACTTTTGTATTTTGTAATGCAAAATTGTTTGGTAAGACCGAATCTGTTTTCATTTTTTGCCTACGACTTATAGTTTTTAAGGTATCGACCAAAGTTTCAGTAATTGATTAATTTAGTTTGTCAAAATTTAAACTCATGTAGAAAGTTTTTTTTTCGGTAAAGTAACAAGAAAAAATAATTGAAATTTGAAGCTGTCTTACGTAGAATTGTCTGAAAAT